GATGATGATGAATGATGATGAACATGATGATGATGAACATGATGATGATGAACATGATGATGATGATGATGATGTTGATGACGGTGATGATGATGACGGTGATGATGATAATGATGATGATACTGACGATGGTGATGATGAACGTGATGGTGATATGATGGTGATCATGTTGATGATATGATGATGAACATGATGATGAATATAATGATGAACATGATGTTGAGATGATGATGACGACGTTGTTCACCTGTTGGAAAGCAGGGACGAAACGTTCAATTACGATGATCTGGGTGATGACGATGGTGATGATCACCATCATCATCACCATCATCATCATCATCATCATCATCATCTGTTATCATTACAATGATGATCACGATGACGACCATTACGGCGGTCATCGGTATCTGCACCTTTGCTGCAATTCCTGCTCTCGACTTTTCCATCGAGAATTAGCGTCGCCTTTGTATCACCAGTCTTCCTCCGTCTTTGCGGTGCCACTTCTCTTAACGATTCTTCAGCAGGTGATACAATGAAAGCTTGTTAGTTCACTTTGTCTCTGGAAATCGCCGTCAGGATTGGTAGTCAGTGGTCACAGTCATGTCAGCATGTGCCGCTGCATCACTACTAACCGCCGCAGCTTAGCCTGAACCCTATACCTGAAAGACCCTAAGCCGTGAACGCCAAACCTCAAAGTACAGAGCCCCGAACCCTGAAGACAATGACGCACAGCGGTCTCGAGAGGCGGTGTTGTCGGCCCACCAGCGTACCTTTCCCAACAGTCGAATATCGCGGTTGGCGAAGACACTGCCCCCGGGCAAATGATTAGGTGGTCACAGATATATGGTATGATATCATATACATACACAACTACATGAATGAGTAAATATACATATATACACATATACATATATATATATATATATGAGCAGCCGTTTTTTGTTTTATACTACAGTTGTCTGAAAGGAGATCACCCCTTACAGGGGGAACGAGGTGGGGCACGGGTTCAAACGAGATTCAGCTTATATATGGCATGTTGCAGTGTTTTTTTAAGTCGAAGGTGAAAGCGAGATTCTGTCAAAGACATCGCTTTCCGAAGGACTTCTAGTACTCTTGTGTTTTCTCATAGTTGTTTGGAGTTGCCTCGGCTAGGTGTTCTGTTAAAATGCACGTATGTCCAACGGAATGTTTGTGTTTATCTGTTCTGTCACAGACACCTCTTTTGGGGGGAGTGCTTGTCGTTAGCCATAGGCAAGTCTTTCCGACGGCACGATGTAGAGTCATGGCCATTTTGGGTGTGATGTAGTCGGATCGAAACGAGATCAACAACAAGATCACAACAAGACCCCAAGCATTTGCGGAATCGGCTGTAAAAGCCCATGGCCCACTCGCTACTACTACGACAAGACAAGGACTACTATTGCAATTATTGTTATCATGACTCCTGCTGCTACTACTACTACTGCTATTGCTGCTACTGCTACTGCTATTGCTGCTACTGCTACTACTACT